CATGCATTTTTTGCATCTATGCAAAGCAAAAACACGTTTTGTTGAAAGATGTTCGTGTTTGTGTGTATGTATGTGTCTGGGTGTTCGCCTGTACCAATTTTCATCTGGAGACCTACAAAAGCTGCAGGGTTGAACTGTGAGAACTACGCAAAAAACACAACCTCGTACAATCAATCGGTGTGTTGGCCAATTATACTTTTTAGACCGTCCATTCGGCCTTTTAACGGCCGCAATTTATCATTCCACCAGTGGGATAACCAATCCGTCTACGATTCGTTCATTCGATTTGATGGCAAATTTGTATTAGTACAATTCAGAGAGTCAGACCATATCAACTTGCTCACCACAAATCTCATGGCCCTTCACACTATCTTTATGTTCTGTTTTTAACAGGTTACGAATGGGAGTAAGGGCACCGGCTGCTGAGACAGTTGGTCGTCGTATCATGCTAATTTGTTATTATGTCGGTGATAATGGTGCAGTGCGGGAGCAAAGGCATATAATTATTGTTGATACTCAGGTTATATTGGAAACCACTTTGAGGTAATATTTTTGTAGTTTGAGGGGAAAGTCAAACGTATCAGATGAAAAAGTCTTTGTGCCTTCAAGAAAAAATTGTACGATTCAGATGATTTCTTTATAGTTTCTGTAACTAGTTATAGTGAATAAAAGAGCTACCAAATAGGGAAGATAGTGGTGGATTTTTGACCATCAAACTTTGTGATATCGGCTTCCTTTTTTTTAAGAAGTAATAGAGAAAACAGGCTCCAACATATTCCAAATGAAGTGCTGCGAGCCAAAATTGGCGTGAAAGATATTATTCAAGCAGTATACGGCCTGCAAGAGGAGATGGGCTGGTCATGTGGCACGGATGACAGATAATAGATAGACGAAGCACTGGGGAGACCACTACTGATGTGGAGAGATCCCATGGTAGGCCTGTACGGCATTGCTTGGACTCGAAGAGAGCAATAACGAATCGAATGGAGAAGTTGCCAGCTGCATCGATTGCTTGACAAGAGATGACATACAGCTGCTCAAGTTAGAAGTTAACAGAGAAAAGAGAGATGACGAATGGAATAGCTTTCAAAGCAAGACTAGGCTGATCACTAAAGCTTAGAACAAAGAAAAAGGCCTGTGATTACTGTGTTCATGGCTGCTTTGTTCCTCCCTGTAACAGAAAAACTGGATATCGACACTCCAAATTTTGTTATTTTAGTAACTATTTATTTTCCAGGCTCGTAGATGCATCAAGCGGTGCATGTGTGTTATTCTTGCGAAACTTGATACC